GATAAAATTTAACCTCATCTGGGATCAAACTGATCCAGAATTATTGCAAGTCTTGATAGGTGAGATTTTAAATGGAAATTCAAATAATTCAATTCAATTCAAACTTAATAAAGACAGAAATCTAGAATGCTTATACATTCAGACAATGCAAATGAAATCATGGCTTGAAAAATATCCGAACATATTACATCTAGATTCAACTTTCAAAGTTAATATAGAAAATTACCAGTTGTACATATGTATGGCACAAAATGCAAATTTAAAAGGAGTACCTGCTGCTTATTGTTTAATATCTACTGGAAATAAATATAATTTAGAATTTTTTTTATTCCGTAATGCGCGACCATAATGATTTACAAGAAACTCAAGTTGTTACGGTTGATAAAGATTTAACAAACATCGATATTTTACAACATTATTTTGACAAAGCATGAATATTACTATGCGTCTTTCACGTTCTGAAATATTTAAAATTACGGGTTCATGGGCTTAAAATTCCATTACCGAACCGAATGAATATTATGAAAAATATTCGCAGATTGCTTTATGATAATAATCAAATGTCCGCAATTTATTTGAAAGAAATTAAAACCGAATCAGAAGAAACTGATTTTTATCAATATTTTGAATTAAATTGGTTGTCTTGTTGTGAAATATGGCAAACCAAGTATCGTAAAAATTTATTCAACTTCGATACAGATACCAATAATCATCTGGAACGATTCAACCGAACGTTAAAAGATCATATATTACCTAAGATGCACATATCGAAATGCGTAAAAAAATTAATATTAGCTGTGGAAGACGCTACAGCTGAAGAAATAAATACATATATAAACTTGAAACAAAGGATTTATAATGATAATGATTTGACAATGGTTCAACAATTTGGTCCTCAACTAATAAACAAAGCTATTGGTTTATTGCGTGGGCAAAATGATGAATTAAAACAAAAACATTATTTCATGGAAGAACTTGAAGATAATGGAAAATCGGCCAAAAAGATGAAGAGAAAAACCACTTTGTAACTTCAAGCATCATTTATCGTGATTCATACGAACGTCTACTATTTTGTGATTGCGAGTTTTTTTTACAGAATCAATTACCATGTCGACATATGATATTTTTGTTTGACAGATTGAATGATGAAATATTTGATCAAGCGAACAGAATTCAAGAAATGATATCAATTAATAAACGATGGTTAATAGCTACAGTTGATCATTATCTTAATGAAGTTTAATATTACGATAATAAATTAAGTTGTGATTTGCAACACAAAATATCTCAAATGGCACCTAAAAAAATCAACACTTTAAGTAGTAATGACAAGTATAACATCGTAAAGCCAACTTTGGATCTCTTGACAGCTCGTATAACTCAATGCGGAACCAACGAATTTCGTGACCATGTTAATTTTCTGAACATTGTTTCAGATTTAATCAATGTAAATAAACATAAAGAGTTGTACAGTTATGCAATCAATTTGAAAAAAATGGCGTGAGGCAATCGGATTGTGAAACGGAACGAGAAGTCGTTACAGATTCACCAGATGATATCAAACAAGAATCACCAGCAACAGAAGCCATGTTTAACGGTAAAGAAAAACTTGAAAAGCAACAAGAAATGTATATTAGCCTAGAAGCACTGGAACAAGAACATAAAATTAACTTATGTGATGAACACCAAGAAGCTTTGTCAGATTTACAATTGAAACGAGAAGATGCAGCCACAGTTGGAGAAGATCCATCATTATCAAAACAAAAGTTGGTTTTTAACTATTTACCGGTTATCAATCCCCGGGGTCGACTGCGTGGTAAGACATCGTTGGTTTCTTATAAGCAAAAAGACAACAAAATTGCTCAAGAGAAAAATAAAAAAACAACTTATAATCGAGTATCACCTGATCTTAAAACATATAAACATAAACGTCATAAAAAAGTTGAATCTGCTCGCGATGTGTACGATAGCACAATTTGACTAACCGATTTACATATATATTTATTTTTTGAATTACTACAAAACCAATTTCCAAATATTAATGGTTTATGTGGTCCTGCACAAATACATTTATACACAGGTTCATTAGACAATTCGATCTTTATTTTCAATGCAAACAACAATCATTCGTTAACAATTGCAAGTTTAGACTCTGATAATATTTGGAAAATTTATGATTCTTTATCTTATCCAGAAGAGTCTTTAGTTAAATTTTTTCAAGACATATTACCTAATGAAGAAAAAGTTGTTTTATCATTTGAAAGCGTACAGCAACAAGTTGGTAGTAATGATTGTGGATTATTTGCATTAGCTTTTGCCACGTCTCTTTGTTATGGAGATATTTCATCATTGTTATTTTACGATCAGAAATCTTTACGTAATCATTATGTTAATTGTATTGAGAATAATGAAATACAACCATTTCCTTCAAAACCTAGGAGAGGAAGCACTAGAAACAATTGTAAATTAGTTGATCTCTATTTGAATTAGAATATTTTTATTATTTTTTTTTTTGCTGGTTGTAATACTTGATTTGTGTACTTAATTAATATTAGTTTTTTTCTATAGGTATTTTATTGTGAAACTTGATTTGTAATTTATTTGATTACAATAAATGATTTATGAAGTAAAATTAATAATAAGTTTCAATATCGTATTTATACTAATAATTAAGTACCGAGAAGATTATATATAGCTTGAGATTTATCAAATAATTGATTTAATCTTTTTGAGTGCATGTAGCCATGTGGCTATGTGTACCTGAGTGTACATAGCCGTGTGGCTATTGTATCGACAAACTGGGTTGGGGTAGCTTACCGCCACCCTCGGTATAGATGTTTTTTAGCTACTTCACATATCCAGAGTGTTCCAACTTCATACATAACACACGTATATATAGGAGAGAGACAGGAGAGAGATATATTAGAACAATGCAAAGAGAACAGAAGGAGGAAGAAGGAGAATCATCGAAGCGTGCGATTAATATCAGCACAGCTATATGTACCTGAGTGTACATAGCCACTTCCTTTAACTTTACTAAAGAACTGTGACAGCATTGTTGTACTTCTTAATAAAAGTTTTTAACAATGATAACCACTAACACACTATTTAAAAGCGATAATCTGATTATTGACCTCTGTCTCTGTTACGGGCCTGCCCTTACATATTCTAATATCCTTTCTCTGTCCTCTCGATGTGATGTCATTCTTTACTTATTACAATATCATCTCTTTCTTCGGTGCAATATCTTTCGATCGCATTATCTTCTTTTTTCTTGTATTCGTTTTCTCTTTCGTTTACCCTGGATGTGCGGAACGGACATATATATATATACGTGCGTTTCTTTCTGTTCTAGTTGGTCCGATGTAGTGTAGTCGTTGTGTGTATGTGTATCTGTACATGTTAAGTAGTGATTTAATAAAGAGACGGGGAGAACATCAACATCCCCTAATAGTCTCTTATTGGTAGAGATGTTCTGACATGAAAATACGAAATGATACATTTGTTAGCGCCAATCTTCTTTTGATAGATACATCACTTATCCCAGCATTGTCGCATCCAATTCTATTGGTTGACATTTTTGAAAACTTTAATATAAGAATAGGATAATGTTGTTGCAGTTTCTTTGTATTATCTGACACAATATGTCCTGAAATTTTGCAGTTATTCTCAAGTATTTTGGTACAATGATCTACGTAGCTCGCAATGTTTGCTTTTCATATTGTAGGGAAGAACGATAAATTGTACAACTGTTTCAGAACTCTTAGAATCACCGCTATGGTGTATATAGATAATATGAATCAATAGCTTTATGATACATTGACTTTTAGATCAATCGTGCAAAAGTACATAGATAGCAGTAGATTGCGTTAGAAAAACTGAACCAGAAAAAAACCCGACGCATTTTATATTTCAACCTGACATGACCCCGCCCGTAGGTCGGATCAGGTTGCAGAACTCTATTGCATGACATTATAGGAAAATGAGGATGTGGGTGTAACTATCATTCGACAACCCCCACAGTCACACATCTGCACCCACATCCACACACTCACACCCGAAATAGTTATTCATCGTTGTTTATTTTGTTTCGATGCAAAAGAACCATAAAAGTATATGTCTTCATTTATGTGTACATTGGTTGTCAAACAGTAATGCGATGAAAAAAATTAAGTTTTAATTCATAATTCTTAAAGAAACAAAAGCTTTTTATATTTCAAAAATGCATTACTTTATTTTTCGTTAACATGAGAGGAGAGCGCACCCAATTAAAAACTCAAGCGTTTAAACGCCGTACCCAGTTCAGATAACATCTTCGGAAATTATTCATCGTAATATTTACGCTCCTACGAACATCTGATCCCTGATTCAGAAAAAAACAGCAGTATAAATCTCAGTTAGTTACAAAACGTATTATCGGAGGGATTCATTTTGAGCTTTTTGAAAAAAAATCGATACAACGCTTATTGAAATACTTCTGAGGCAAACAAATAAGTACAATTGTTATTAAATAATTATAGAAAACCATATGCGAGTCTTATTGAACATTTGCAAATGACGTGAACAACCATGAATCTTCTCTCATATAAAACTTGGTGTCATTGATAATTGCAGTTCGTTAATTTGATTTCACGAAAAGTCATAAAACCTCAAAATATTTCACTCAAAGAACGATAAGGGTGTAGGGGTGGGTCTCATAGAAGAGAATATTCACACTCACATCCAGAAGGTACTTGCATCCAATCTCTAAGAAAAATAGCCTATCTTCACTCCTAATTCAAGAAAGATGTAGGTAACAATTGCCAATCTTACAGATTATGTAACACGCACTATGTTATAGATAAACTATGTTTGTTCGTAATAATACGAAACATGCTATACAGAATAATGTACACAATCATACGGAGAAAAGTCATCATTGTTTTCATCTCCTTCATTCGATTCCCTCAACAAACAAGATCAATTTATTTACACTGTGCAATACATAGTCATATGTACATATAACACAATGTTATGACAACGAAAATGATGCGACATCTGCTCATTCATTTGCAATAAGTACACCTATAACGAATAATAACTAATCACATGAATGATTTTTTATTTCATATTAAACAACAACATGAAAGATACACGAAAAACCTTCAATCATACTTTATGATTCATTTTTCTATTGATATAGGCATATCAATTAGTTTATAGTCTTTAAAAAACATGTTGGAATACTTTGATATAGAAGAAAATACACTGTATGTGTACAATAACGATAATATTTTTTTCTTGTTAATACAAATTGTGATCTATTTTAGTGGCATGACCATAACATCAGGGACATGTACATTAAAGAAAGATGATACAAATTTGATTGGAATAAGTATTGGCGGTGGTTATCCATATTGTCCTTGTTTATATATTGTGCAAATATTTGATGATACACCTGCAGCAAAAGATGGATCTATAGCTGCAGGTTGAGAATAAATAATATTTGTTGTTTTGATTTTCTTAATGATTAATTGATTTGAGTAGGAGATGAAATTGTTTCAATTAATGGTACATCAGTAAAAGGACAAACAAAATCTGAAGCAGCTAAACTTATTGCAGCTTCTCAGGTATGCTTTTTTTCTTCTTCTTTTGAATTCATTTATCATGATTCTTACTTCTACGTAGTCACAAGTAACAATTCATTATAATAAATTACATGCTCGACCACAAGATGGAAAAACATTAGATATCGGTTAGCTTATTAGTTTTTACTTAAATTCGTAGTATATTTTCTATCTACGTTAATTAGTTTTAAAAAAAGTCAAGCATCGTATGATTGAATCCATGAGTTCATCAACTGCTGATGCTTTGGGTCTTAGTCGTGCTATATTATGCAATGGTAAAAACAAACGAAACTGTTTTCTGTTTGTAGGTTTTTTGTCTTTAGATAGTCTGGTTAAAAAACTTCATGAACTTGAGCAACTAGCAGATTTATATCGTGGACTTATCAAGCATGCACGTAAAGTCCTTATAGGTATCTATGATTTAGCTCATGTACATCGTAGTTTTGGTGATGCATTTGCTAATATTGGTGCTCGTGAACCGCAACTCAATGCATCACAAGCATTCACGAAATTTGGTGATGCTCATCGACAACTTGATCAATATGCTGTAACACTACTCAATACTGTCGTGCCGGTATGTAAAAAAATATATTTTCAGATATGTTTCATCATTAATATTATTTTAGATGGTTGCCGATTTAAATACATTTTTAACAAAAGCTATTCCTGATACTCGATTAACCATTGAAAAATATGCTGATTCAAAATTCGAATATTTAGTAAGATATACATATTGCTATAAAAGCTCATACTAAATAAAAAGATAAATTGTTCTTGAACTCTACAAAGAATATAATTGAGATTTTTTAATAATTCTTTTCATCTTCCTCAAAGATTTTTCCTCTAATCAGGCTCTCCGATAGGAAAGCTTAAGTGATTGGGTTCTGTTCGCGTATTAATTTAATCATTCATTTAGTCTTATTGTTTGAAAGTAAAAGAAATGAGTGATGAAGAATATATGTTTGCTGCACAACATGAAGCACTTTATCGAGTTGAAACAGGAAATTATGAGTATCGGTGCGTTTGAATTTATTTGTTTTTTTCTTTTGACATTTATAACGAATATTAATGTGTTTAGATTAGTACTTCGATGTCGACAATTAGCTCGTGAACGTTTTGCTAAAATGCGTTCAGATGTACTTGTTAAATTAGAATTACTTGATCAAAAACGTGGTTCGTATTTTTATATTTAAAATATATTTTTCCATATTATTCATTTTCTATTAGTTCAAGATATAGTCTTTCAATTACATCGTTTTATGACTGGTCTTGATAAATATCATAAAGATAGTAATGAAATTATGAAAGAAGTTGATATATTTCCAATTGAAATTAATCTTTCTTTACCAATATTTTGTAAAAAGGAAGACAATGATCCTGATCAATTTGATGATCAAACTGATCAAGTGCATGACGATAATAATCAAAAACAAAACATCGACGATATAGATCTACTCAACATTGAAGATTAATCAATTGAAAATTCTCAATCTAATGGTGCAATCTCAACTTTTTTCTGTTTTCTTGCAAGAATCATTTCAATCATTGGTTTATGTTTCTTTTATTATTCTTTCTAACTGACAGTGCACTAGTTTTTATTTTGCTCTTTTTTTATGAAATGTTATCAATAACAAAATTTTTATTGAACCATTTCTTTAAAACCTTACTTTATAAAAAGTCTCAGGCTATAAGACAGCTAGACTCATTAATGAAACAAAAGGAAAAATCAAAAGATTTCTTGCACAGAACTCGGGTACGTCTCATTTGATAGAATAGCATTTTCTGTTTCTTTTGATAGTCTAGATTGCATGATTCAGTCTTTTATTTCACAGCTCAAGTTGTTGACATAAAGTACTCGAAGGTAACACACAAAAATGCTCGGTA